TAGCTGATCATTAGCTTGGGCATTGGTAATTGGATTTTTACTGGCGAGATTTGATCCTACGTTTAAGAAGAAGTCATTTATCTTGTTAGCTGTATCAATAGTCTGGAGTTTTGGTTCATTTGGCTTAGTACAATATTACTAATTCTGTCCGGTTTGTGGTGCCCAAGATCTGAGTGAGTGTCTTCTAGGCCTTTTTAATATCTCCTCTCTCTCTTCAGTGAATCTGTTAGAATAATATAGTTGCTTGGACTTTCTGATTAATTTGGTGAGGACTGACATATAGCGTTGGATGAATTCTTTAGTTATTAAGCCCCTTATATATTGTTTTTCGTATTGATGTTTCATATTGATGGATCTTAGTATGCTGTTAGTAAGCCATGGGCAACTTAGGCTTTTGTTAGTGACCTGTTTAATTTTTATGGGACAGTGTTTGTTATATAGTTTACATATTTTGTTTAGAAATACGTCTACCCATTCATGGATACCAACCTCACTGAAAAATTCTGTAGGCCAGTCAATTGGCCTTAGCTCTGCAGTGAAGTTACTTATTAAATTCCATTAGTTGCTTGGAAAGTTGGGAAGTGGTCAGTAGCATTGTCTGTGGATATCTCGGCTTTAAGGGGATGAGTATGTTTATATATGGTCAGTTATGGTTGCACTCATCTCGGTCTTGTTGGTTTTGTAATTGCTGGTATGAGTAGTGTATTGTTCATATTGTTAATGAAGTCAATTACATGTTGGTCATCTGTTAGGCCTAGGTTGATGTTGAAGTCTAACACTGTTAGGCATTACCGGGAAAGAAGGGCCACGTATGATGCTAAAATGATCTTATTTTATGTTTTTAACTGTATATTCTGGATCAGCATAGAAAATAGTACCCCTGGTGTGATTTTAAGAAATTTTGAAAATCCGGCCAAAAATGTCAAAAAAAAAAAAAAAAACGCTAACTATAGCTCAGGGATTTTTTGGGGGCAAAAAACTTTCTCTCAAGATGGAAAATGGTTATGATGACACTGTTCGTTGGATCAATTTCTCCCCATAAACATGAAAAAATCTGATAGCTTTAATGGAAGGTTATGAGAGTTTTTATAAGATAAATGTGCCATAAAAGAAAGTCAGGGAAGAAACAGACGAGAGAAAACAGCCTTGTATGCCGAAACTTTCTTTTTTTATGTTTTTAAGTGCATATCCTTAAGTAGAATACAAAATAGTTCAAACGGAGTGATTTTTTTTTCTTGGTAATGTTTAGCTATTGTTTATAATTTATGGGTTTTTCCTAATTTTTAAGCACTTTTCATTATTTTTGATAACTTCGTAATTTTTTTTTATTTTTCATGATTTTTGTTATTTTCTGTAATGAACAGTCTTAATGAAAATATCAGCTTCCCATATTAGACATTACTGGGAAAGGAGGGCCTCATATGATGCTAATATGATCTGAGTCTACATTTTAAGTGTATATTCTGAATCAGCATAGAAAATAGTACCCATAGTGTGATTTTTCGGAATTTTGAAAATCCGAGATACAAGATAAATGTGCCTCACACAGGGAAGAAACAGAAGAGAGAAAACAGCCTTGTATCGTGCTAAAACTGTCTTTGTTTTTTAGTGCATATTCTCAAGTAGAATAAAAAATACATAGTTCAAATGGAGTATTTTTTTTTTTTTTTTTGTCATTTTTGATAACTCGGTTATTTTGAGTAATTTTTAATTATTCTTTGTGATTTTTAGTTTCTGTAATGAATAGTCTTAATAATTTTTATTTTAGCATGATACATTTTTGTACAAAGGCATATAACAATTGGGTGTAAATGCTAAAAGCCTCTTTATATGCAAAGCATTTTTGGCAAAATTAAGATTATAAGTCAATAACAGTACAATAATTATACATATGGTCATTAGGCGAGTTACAATGAATACAAGAAAATTTAATATTCTATTAGTTCATGCTATATGGCTTTAATAGGTATGGTAGAGAAGAATTACAGTTTTGATTATTAACCTAAGGTCGACACAGTGGAATGAGCCAGTGGTTCTGAAGATTTCTGGCAGAGAGTTCCAGATTTTGGATCCTTTTATGTACATCGAGTTTGAAAAGATTTAACCTGACATGGGGAATGTCAGAGATTTGTCCAGTATTGTGTCCATGGGTCCTATTGCAACTGTCATGAAAGTGCTTCAAGTCAGGCTTTATATTAGAATTGAGCATTCTGTAAATGTAGGTTGCACAGTAGTATGAGTGGATGTTTTATAGAGTGAATAGGTTTAGTTCTTTGAAAAGTGGGGAAGGGGGGAGAGGTGTTGTCTAGCTGTGGATTGTGTGATCATTTGCACTGCAGCTTTGTTTGGTTATTATTGGCTTTAGGTGATTTGTTGTTGTGGAGCCTGGGGCTCCACAAGAAGTGAATATTATAGTGTAAGTAGTGCCGTTTGTGGTACATAGTAACATATCTTTGAAAGGATGCCAACTGATTTAGATACTTTTCTTATGTGTTGAATTTCAGGTTGCTGTCAAGATGTAAACCCAGGAATTTTCCCTCGTTATGTTTAGCAATAAGGATATTAACCCTTTCACTCCACTGCTGCACTTTCAGCAGTAGAGTGACACTTGTCTTACACCATGCTTCAAGGAGTTTCATATATACTCCAGCATGTCTGAAACATTGCTGTAACCTTTAAATACTATGTAGTATATATTTCTAGACAGTAGTATGTGACCAAGGCAGGTGCCAATGTTTACCTGTCAGTGTTTGTGATTATTTGAGTGCTATTTCAGTACCTAATATTAGTGTAAGAACAAATATTGGCTATGAAATCACAAGAACTACTTCAAATTATAATTATCAGAACATAAAAATTATATAAATTAAAATAAAAAGAGAAAAAAGGTATATTGGCAACATTTCTGTAAGTGGCAGGATTCCATGTTGCTGTCAGGTGAGCCTCCAGTGCCAACTTTGCAGTCTTGTATCTTGGTAAGTACTGACCCTAATTTTTTTTTTTTTTTGGGTCTTATTACACAGAAAATTGTCCTTAAAAAATAAAAATTAAATATTTGGAGTGCTGGGTGAGAGAGCGTAAATCTACATTTGGACAGTTAAGGAGATATGATGGTAGTTAGGTTCCTCAAAATGCAGTGTTAGACAAAATCCATGTGAATTGAACTGAAGAACTTGTGGGAAAAATAGGGTTATGTTCCTGGGACCCCCAAATAAGCCAAATTTTTTTTTTTTTTTTTAAGGTCTCCAAATTTTACAGAAATAAAAATAATGCTATTGTTGTTCATTATTGTTACAATGTTTTTTTTTCTGTTGCTTAAGGCTTAAAATGCAACAGAAATATTTCTTGCCTTAAATTGTGGTTGCTGGTGTTCGTTGATGATTGTGAAGGAGGAAGTGGAGAGGCATGCTGAGGTGGATGGTAGTCCACTCACTATGTCAGTCCAGTTAAGTCATTCAGTAAATCAGGTCGGTCAGTAAGAACATAAGAAGTCATTCATCCAGCTGTGGCACTGAGATTTTTTCTCTACTGAGAAGCAGAACTGTTTAAATTGAATTTTACAAAATGTGAAACGAAAATATGCCACAATTTGACAGTTTAATGGGGAGAACGTCTTAAAGAAAACCGTTTTAATCGACTGTCTACTGTAGTTTAAATGGAGTAATTTTTTTTTCTGTAATGTTTAATTATTTCTCATAATTTTTAGTAATTTTTCGAGAGAAAATCAATAATCCTGCTATTGTGTGAAATAGTTGACAGGTTTCCTATTCACACTTATGACAGCAGTGTAGTACTTTCCTGGATGATTGCTACATTTAAAGATAATTTACATTAGACCAGGGGTTCCCAACCTGGGGTGTATGTACCCCCAGGGGAGGGGCGAGAGATGGCATTTCAGGGGGTGTGACAGTCCTGATGAAAAGCACAATTCCGTTTATTTAACCAAAAACTATTTTAATTGCTCAATTTATATTTACATTTTATGCACTGAATTAAAAGCTTATTTTTGAGTTCAATTTGTTCACCCGCAGTACTGTATTTGGTTGCTAGGGGTGAGGGGCATGGAAAAGGTTGGCAACCCCTGCATTAAACTGACTGACATAGGAGTGAATCATAAATGGAGTATAATTTAACCTTTATTTCTTCTTTTTATTGAAAATTAATCTTATAACGATATTTTGTTAATGCTGAAAACTCTACAACACACGCACATTATTTAACTTTAATGTACTAAAAATGATTTTCATTGTTTATTTATAAAGTAAGGCTTTACCTTATATAAAGTATGCATGGCTCGAAATGCTCAGGAATGCTAGCGTCTCTTTGTGCTTAACAACATTTTATATTATGTACATTATGCAAAGAAATAAAAATTTGAAGTGTGGACCCTATAAAAACTTATTGCAGTGTCTCTAACTCTGATTCATCTTTGATACATCCATATATATTAACTGCATGATGAAAAGTTGTAAGTCTGGCTCAATTTAAACCTTGACTTGCCTGGGTCCTTCAATATTAAAAAACCTGTGCTAATCATGTGTGTGGGGGAAGGGGGGGGTCATACAGTGCACGAAGAGGTTATACGTAGTATTAATGGACTGGTTAGAGTGAGCTATTGCATCAAATCATCATTAATGCAGTACCTCAGGACTGGAAGATGAGTGTTATCTAGGTAAGGTAATTCACTGAAATTACCTTAATCAATATTGCATTATAAATCTATGGTGAACCTGATCATTTTTGGTAGCATTTTTTTTTTTTTTTTTTTAAGCAAGCATTGACATAAAAAATACTGTATTTTATTATTATGCTGCTTGTCTTCCATATGATATTCAACATTATCATTTGTGACATGGGATTAGGACGATTTAGACAGGCAAGAGATGTGCCATTTAAAAATTAGTTGTGGTGTAAAATGTTTTGCTATGCTTGTGTTTCAGACTGGCAAAAAAAAAAAAGGCTGTTTTGGAAATAAAATTTGTTTTTTTTTTTTTTTTCAGGTTCTTTCTTTACGTGGTAATGCAATAGAGTCATTGGAGGGAGGAGTCTTCATCCATCTGACTCAGCTGAGAGACCTGGACCTCTCTGCAAATCGAATAGACAGATTAGATGACCATGCACTTTCAGGACTATCGAACTTGAGAGTCTTACACCTCCGTGACAACAGATTAGCTGCAATACCAGCAGCCAACCTTGCTCTTGTATCAGACTTAGCAGAGCTCAGTGTGGGTGGTAATGACTTCACAGAAGTCAAGGAAGGCGATCTTCAATCCATGAGAACATTAAAGGACCTTGACCTCTCTGGGGCATTGTTGGATGAAGGTCTTACAATTTTTTCATTTCAGGGTCTTTTGGGCCTACGCAAGTTGAAGTTAGAAGGCTGTGGACTAACATCCATTCCAACCTTACCACTCAATTCCCTCAGCAAATTAGAAGAACTGCATATTGGTCGCAACCTTTTCATTAATTTACCATCTGATGCCTTTAGAAGCAATCGCAATTTGCACTCGCTCTATGTATCAGGATGTCCCAATTTAGAGTATATGGATAAAGGTGTTTTGCAATATAATCTAAATGTTAAACAGGTAGTGATTACACAGAATCCAAAGTTAACCTACATAGCTCCAGATGCCCTTCGATTTCTACCAGAACTAAGCCTCTTGGACCTTCGTGACAACAATCTTGAACAAATCAGTGAACATGCAGCATCTTGGGCAGATATTGATGTTTGGCGCCTCGAGGGAAACCCTATAACTTGCAACTGCTCTGCTGCATGGCTTCGTGAACTAACCTTGGCTCCAAATTCAAGTGCAAGTCTGAAATGTGCATCTCCACCCCGCTTGGCAGACATACCACTGCATTCCTTACAAATGAGTGACCTGGCATGCGGCATGGATCCAGCGACGCAAGGACTCATTATTGGGGTTATGGTTTGTATTATTGTAATTGTGGTAGCTGCAGTAGTGGTAGTGATGCTGTATCGTCATCATGGCTCCTGTGTGCATCGCCTCCTCAAAGGGCACCACATAGGAGGACGTGGCAGTGGGTGTGATCACCATCCTTACACTCATAACTATCATCCAGCTTATACCATGACACCTACTAAGCCCGTGCCTGTTACTGAACTTTAGCAGTCGGCCCGATACTGAGGCAAAGACTCGGATCTCTCTGGTGTGAGCCTCTTCAGTGAATACAGTGTGGTATTGTGAAAATAGTGCTGAAATGTGGTAATGATCTGGTAATGCTTTGAACAATAGTGCGAGACCAGACAGTAAAATGTTCTTCAGCCATAGTTCAGAAAATATGGCTCTAATCTGATGTAAACATTAATGCATTTAGTATGCAATATAATGTTTTTTAAATGGAAGTTGTGTTGTTTGTTCTTCTTTGCAGTGCCTGTCTTCCATACCTTTGGAGACTCATGCCTTTGATTCCTTAAGACTCTTCATGTTGCCTATGTATAGTCATTCAGGTATTTAACCAGACCAGATGGCATGCTGTCAAAGATAAAATAAAAAAAAACACATAGGTTAAAATAAATTCCATAGAGATATAGTTTCTTCTAAATCCTCTTGTGATACTATTTGCTTTGGAAGGAGAAAAAGTGGAACACAGTAACTTCCTTAAAGTTAATCTAGTCTTTTTTAATTTCTCTTTCAATGATAGGTGTATATTGCCTTATCAAAGACTTTGGACATTTTATTGTATTCCTTAAGTCCCTGTGATAGACCTATCATACATGCTCTTTCTAAGAATATTTGAAGTATTGTAGGATTTTTAATATATGTGAATATGCAGTACATATTACAGACTGTGATCATCATCTTCACTTGTAGCGAGGATAGTTTTCACAGAATACACCATATATGACCAGATTAGCAATAATGGATTTCAGAACTCTTTGTATCAGACTACTGCTTCCCCAAAAATGCACTATCTTAGTCATATTTTAAAGATAATGATTGCTGAGAATGTCATATATGTAGCAGGTTGTGTCAGGCTTACCAAACTAGGAAGAACCACTAGCAGGAGCTACGAGTACAACTGGGGCCGAGGCTCCTTCCTTTAAAATTATTAAATAACTGAATTAAATTCAGTATGATTTCTCTTTTCTTCACATAGCATTGAGAAAAGAGGAGACATAGTGAAACAATACCAAAGGCTTAACATAATCAAGATGTCAATTATGTTTGTCCATTTTATGAAAAATCACATTGCCATAGCATTCAGATAATTCTATTTTCATGGATTTGCATAATTAGCAGTTTGTAAATATTTTATATAAAGAAAACTTGTTTCCAGTATAGCTTACAGTTTTAAATTTCTCAAGTGTTTAATATGATGTCAATTTGGGTAGAAATTATAACTTTGCATGACATAAAATAATGAAATATCCATAGCACTTATGTTTACAGCAGTTGATTTGGAGTCATGAACATAGTTTTACTGGGTTGTTGCTGTTGGCATTCAACTAGGTATCTGGTCATGTTTAAGAAGGTTGGGCAATATTGTGGTAAACCAGGGAGGGCTCTTGTTGCAGCTGTACCAAGATACAGATAAAATTTTATTTAGCCTTAATGTAAAGGTTTTCCAAATGTTAAGAAAATATGTCCTCATATCCAAACCTCTTCATAGTATTTACAGATTGGTTTCATGGGAGCACAAGTCACTGACAGTTGCATAAATAGCATGTAAATATATATATGTATGTAATATGTATATATATATTTTGGAGTGGGGGGAGGGGAGTGCAAATTTGAAGATTATTTTTTGTGTAATAGGAAGCTCATCAAAGCTAAAACTCTAGCTCTCTCATTTGATTTAACGAGCTGACTTTGATCAGCAAATTTGCCTGTTGTAAATTACTTGCAAATTTGGCGATTCATTATCTTTGGCAATGGACAAGCACACTCACACCTTCAATGTTTCTGCCCCACTTAGCAGTAGGGAATCGCACATTTGAACATTGTTCGTAAAACGAACTTCATAGCTATAAAAGTCGGTATTCTACTCAATTTTATAGCTATGCAAGTTTTGGTAATTAAATTTTTTAACATGCTTCATCTTCATAACTTTCAGATGTCTAGTAATTTTTTTTGAGGTTATCTAATAGAGCACCCTGGATTGCTAAATATCCCTTCCAGCCTTCCAGAATTATCTCACCATGTAAAAATCTAAAGATACTGAAGAAAATGCTATGAAGTAATTATGTCAGGCCAGACCAAAGATGTGCTTTTGTGTTCTATGCAACTCTGGTAGCTGTAGTGAAATCAGTCAACCATCACTTGACGAGTTATGCAAATAGATAAGGCGCTGTGTAATTCTTCTGGGCTAGCCTGCAAACTTGTCTAGAAATGGTTTTTTTTTTATTATTTTGTGTTTTAAAGCAGATTATTTATCATTGGATTTTTTATAGATCTTTGTACATTCCCACTGTAGGTGTTAAATAATTTTATAAAAGCTATAAATATTGATTTTTTTTTTTGAGGGGGTTTGAAAAATATTGCTTCAGTGCTTGCAGTATGTATGAAGTGAGCCTAACCTTTGTAACTCTTAGAGGTCAATGATTTATACTTCTTTATTAAGGTAAGTCTAATCATTTTAGAACTTTATTATACTGCACTTTTCTCTTCCCAAAGGAACTTTTTAGTAAAGTAAGAAGCAGTAATGAGTAATATATTAAAGGACATTATTGCTAGTTTGTATCCATTGAGTACTGCATATGAACTAGCAATGCAGTCATTGAAATAGAATTTTATCACTTAATAAACTTGAATAAACTAAAAAACTATAGAATATTTCCTTTAAATGGACCTAAGCTAATTACTATTACATCAGAAGATTCTTTGTAAAGAGAAGTATTATACATATATAGTAGATACCTAATATAAGAAGAATAAGAAATGTTTTTCATACCCTTTATATATTTGTGCAACTTGTCCAATTTTGCGAGTTCATAGGGTAAGGCTCCCCAGTTTTTAACACTATTACTTGTATATAGCGTATATATTATAAATATATATATATAAATAAATATATATAAATATATATAGTTTCCACTCATTCTGTGGATTTTCAAGATTTTTTCTCTTTCAAATACAAAGTTTCTGCTAAATATTCTCTTGTAGTTCAAGACTAGGTAATGATGCATATAATCATTTTACCCAGAGCACCAGTTGTGTAATCAACATATCAAAATGTAACATGGTTAATGATTAGCAGTAAACCATTTCTTGAAAACATATTTCATAAAGTCTTGACAGATTTTTAAGATTTACTACAACTACTGTCAATTCTTGTACAATTCATTCATTTAGCACTTTAATCATAAAAGGTGTAGACAGTATTGTTGGAGGGGCATTTGTAATATACCAGTATATTATTGCTAACAATCACTTTCATGTTGAATATATGAAGTACATTATTTGTTCAGAAGATAAGTGTAAACTGCTTTACCTCTGACGACCAGCATGTGGAATACTTCTAAAAGTTAAAGTATTTGGAGTTTGGGTCAATGCTAACATGTTCAACTACATCACTAAAAGAAGGGAGAAATTTCCAAGGGATCTGAACCCCTTGAAGTACAGCCACGTAGATACTCCTTGAAATGTGTTAGCGCTTTACTAACATGTGTCAGGGTAGGTCCTAAGGAAGGCATCAGTTATTGAATAGTAATTCCAAGAGCATTAGAGCTCAGAGATAAATTTTGGTAAATTAGATGCTTTTCTTGTAACAGTGAACTTTTGTTTGCTGAGAAACACAAGGGTCACATATTCTTAATGCTGTGTGTAAAATCCTGATACAGTTGATACACGAGAAAAAAAAATGGTATACAGATAAAATTGTATCAGTTTTCAAGTGCTAAATTGGTATATTTATATGTTCAAAAGATACCCAGCCAGGCAAAAATTTTAAACATTTACAAAATACAGTATAATAATGTATCGTTCTTATAAGTACTCTATTCAGTCTGCAAATGCCCCTCTAATATTTCTTTCAAAAATTTTGGCCAGGATTTGTGTTGCACAATCACAACACTAATAGCTAACCCAAAAGCAATTTAAATAATACTGGGAAATTTATAATCTTTCATCAACATTACAAATTATTACTTAGTAAAATGATGTAACACTTAATTTTTTTGTGCTTAATATATTTTTTAGGTGTTCAAAATATTGGAGCATTAAAAAAAGTGTATTATGATTAATAGTTGAACTTCAAAACATATTAAAAGTAGTTTGGTCAAATTAGGTCACACTTCAACAATTGATGATTGTGTTGATAAGAGCATTTCCCAGTACTGCATTAGTGAAGGCAGCCTCTACTACTACCTTCTGAACACTATATGGACTGACACAAGATCAACATGTCATAGTTGCTTAGTCAGATTTACCAGTACAGTAATAAGGTTATAATACCAATCATGCAACCTGTTCTCCAAATATTTTTTTTATTATTTTTGTGGCACACACTACAGTTTTCTACATAATTTAAACCAGTGGTTCCCAAACTTTTTGAGGCTGCTGCTCCCCTTGGCTCCCAGGCTACATCCCTAGTCTCCCCTCCCCTACACACACCCACCTCTTTCTTGGTATTAGGTTTACTGCAAATTCAAAACATTAACACTATAAACAAGCATATTTATTTCACAATATAATTAACCAATTTAACAATATGAAAAGGTAAATTTACCTCTCATCTGTAACTACATTGTCTTCAAAATCTTAATGAGATTGGTTTACTTAGTCAGGGACATCAGCTCTCGACATCAGGCTTACAGGCACTTAAGTTTAAGTGTCTTCAATAATTTTCAGTGTTTCTCTGCTTGGAAAGAAGCTTGGCAACTGAATTGAAGCCTCGCTCTAATAAGTATGATGTTGGGAAGGCAATAAAGTACTATGCTTTCATGTATAACTTAACTTTATTCTTTGTAAAGCATTTGTGTTACTTTAAGTGTTCGTGACTTGGATTTTGTCAGATTTTGTAAAACAAATGCTCCCATAGTTCTGATGCCCACCCTACCACTCCCTTTTTCCTCAATGTCCCCCTGTATCTTTCCTCCACCCCCAGGGTGGGGGGCAGCACCACCCACTTTGGGAATCACCGATTTAAACAGTAAAATAAATTTGCACGTTATTTTTCTGAGTTAAGGTTAACCTAACCTAAATTAACCTACATACACATGTAGTGAAGCACCAATATTGAAATATAAAAATGTGGTTCATATCTGGCAGTGTGGGACACAATCACTACAGTGTGGGACACAATCACTACTTTAAAATGTTGGTAATCTCATACTTGGTTTCTGTTGGAGGACGGGTAAATCATGGTGCCATATTTCTGTCATATACTATTAGGCATGTGCCACAAGTGGGTTTTATTCTTTCATTGATGATCTGAGGCCACTCTGGTGTCTCAAAACTATTATCACAATCATTTAGCACAATAGTAATTACCCATTGCAATAATAAAACATTTGACAACTTCTACAGTCAGTTGTGAGATGTACACTATTAAACATACCATTTTTATCTTTGACCCAAAAAATAGTTAGCACAACAATGAAGCAACAAGCCTTTGCTTATCTCAACATTTAACAGTAACCAAGATTGTATTGCTACTTTTGTAATAATATCACTGGCTTAAGCATAGTGTTTATTATGTACAAACTGTCAATTCCAAGAAATCTTATTATAGCAGTCCAAAATATAAGAATTGTTAATAGATGTACCTGTACATCAAATTTTAAAGCAGTTTAATGACACAGGGTTTAATATAGGACTATGTACTGGTGACAAATAGAAATAGGCAAAGTGTAAAAAGGGATAATATTGAGGTTATAAATTTAATACACGTTAAAACTGAAGACAAAATTTGATCTGATGCATGATCTTGTAGCATCTTAAATATACGCACCATGATGAAAAGTGGAATTTTTAAGCATTTTTAAATTCATGCAATAAGTAGGAGACAGCATCTTGATTTTCTTATTAATGCATGCATACATTTAATGTAGCTTTTTAAATGATATAATTTAAATTTATATGACTGTTTTGGAGACATTTTATAGTGTTAATTATGAACTAGTCTGCCTTATGACTATACCTGATGATGGTAATGTACTGTACATGTACAACCAAAAACCATTCTGTAGCTACACTTAATCAGTTACTATAAGTCTCTGTGTATGTTAAACTATACATCAACCCAATAATCATTGTAAATTCATACAAAATCATAGGATCTATTAAAACTTGAAATGACCACTATGACATTCACAAAATAGTGCTCATAAATTACAAGGGCATTCAATCCTACTTGAGTTGTAGTTTTGTCTGGCAACATACAACAGGTGTCATGTGGCTTCCTGAATAACAAAATTATTTATTAAAGATTTGAGATGCTCAAGTTTCAAAATCAAAACACCCCCATCCTAACAATCCCATTTGATAACTATTTGAGCATAAATTCTATAAATTTGTACATATACATTAATGTATTTCATGGGCTCAATTTAATCCCACAGCTGTGAATTGTTGCATCACTGCACTCGGCATTTGTTATTCAATCTTTTACTTGTTTTCCATTTCTTAATAAAGGATTATATAGAATGAATGTGCATTTCATTTCCTAAAAGACTAAACACATCACAAAGTCCCCTTGAAGGGAGGTCACTAGGCAAGGTGAAGGATTAGCAGTCAGAGGAATTAAGCCTCATCTTATTCAGATCAAATCTAAAACCCCCTACCCCTCCATCTGTGACTTTTGGGAATATTTCCCACGTAAATTACAGCTCCTAGGTCTGTCCCATTACACTGAAGACCATGGTGGTGGTTGCTGTGGTAATTGGATTATCTGGGCATGAGCTGGGCTTCCCTATCAAGTGCTGGTAGGCAACCTCATGTGTTCTTAGGTGACAGGAGTATCCCTGAAGGATGCCTGTCAGTCAGTTCTGGTAGGTGGTGGCCAAAATTGGTATGACACTTTGTGGTTGTCTCTTATTGGCCAAGGTGGCTTGGTTGATGCAAGAGGTACCACCCTGAATTGCTCATTTACTGGTGTGAAGGGTAGGGTAAGAGCAGTTTCCATGCAGCAAGAAGCACTACTTGCTGCAAACAGCATCCTTTTGGATGAAAAGGGAGGATACATGGTATTTCTCCTCAAAGCTCCCTGTCTTACGGGGTCTCCATGCCTTTCCATTTAAAAAATATTTCATCGGTAGTCTAGTTCATGATTTGCTGCCTCCAGGACCCCTTAACCCCTAAAGCACCATTGATTGATAGTGTGTCAATTTTCTGATCATTCGCATGTCACAAGACAGATTGGCTTGATGCCAATGTCCAAACAACCTGAACCCATATTTGGGCATCCAGATGCTATTAAACATTCCTCCTCTCTCCAACCCTAAGAAATGCACCACCTGGAAACCTATTTCTGTACACTATTTCAAAGACAATCTTGGACAAAATTCTTTTCTTTTCAGCCAGTGACAATAAGGCAGGAGGAGGTACATTTCCTTCTTAAATCGCTTGACCAAGAAAAGGCTGTGGGCCCAGACAAGTTGAGCCCAAGATTGCGAGATGTGCAGACCAGCTAGCAGCACCTCTAACTCGCATCTTTCAGCACTGCCTAGTACAGTGTAAATGGCCCTCTATGGAAAGAGGCAAATGTAGCCCCTGTTCACAAAAAGAAGAGCAGAGCAGAAATCTGCAACTACAGACCAGTGTCACTCCTGTCAATCACTGGTAAGATCCTTGAGACAATCTCAAAACAAATGACAGTTTTTTGACTACCACTCGCTACTTTGTGATCGTCAATATGGCTTCAGAAAAGGTTACTTGCTGCTGATCTGTTGTTAAACCTCTCCACTAAGTGGCACCAGTCACTGGATGAATCCAAAGTCAGCTGTGTGGTAGTACTGGACATTGCTGGCGCTTTCGACCGGGTGTGGCACCAGGCCTCTTAGCAAAACTTCAAGCACTGGGAATTGCAGGCTCTACGCTATGTCTCCTAAGTGACATGGTAGATCTCTAAGTGTAGTTCTCAATGGAACGGAATCAGCAAGACATCCTATTGGGGCAAGTGTTCCACAAGGAAGCGTGCTGGGACCATTGTTATGGAATGTCTACTTCAACGACCTTCACCACATCCCAGAATCACGTGCATATGCAGACGACTGTACACTGACATTCACTTATCCAAGAGAAGAAATGCCAGCTGCTCTAAGCTACATCAATCACCAGCTGAGAGCTATATCAGCTTGGGGAAATAGATGGCAAGTAACATTTGCACCTGAGAAAACGCAAATGATGATCGTCTCTAGGCACCATGATGGTAATGCTGGTGCAGTAGTAAGGATGAATGGGAGGGTGTTGGCACCTGGAGAAGTTGATATCCTAGGGATGAAATTTGACTCCAAACTAACCATGACGAACCATGTTGTAATTCTTGCAAACAAGGCAGCCAGGAAGCTTACAGCACTTCGCCGTATCTCGCATCTGCTTGACAGTAGGGGTTGCAAGATTCTGTACGAGGCACAAGTACACTCACACCTTGAGTATGCTCCACTTTCTTGGTTTGCCTGCCCCCCCCCCTTCTCATCTGCAACTGCTTGACAGTAGAGAACAGAGCAAGATGTCTCATCTCTCGCCTGGACCCATCCTGGATAGATCTGTCATTTCAGCAGAGCCTTCAACATAGGAGGGATGTGGGTGGCCTTACTGTTATGTACAAGGCCAATATTGTCAAAGTACCACACTTGGATCCACTTCAAGGACAGCATGAAACAAGCTTTTATGCCACAAGACGGGCAGAAAGCAGCAACTTCACTCTGGCTGCACCCTTCTCCAGAACATCACTCCATCTGACATCATATATACCCAGGATGACTCGAGTATGGAACACATTCGTACAGCATAATGATGTAAACGAGATAAAGTCAGTTGATCAAATGAAAATGCTGGCCCACAGATGGCTCCAACTTCATCCTGTTCCCTACTTGTATGTCTCATAACAATAAAAATGCTTTCAAATGAGCTGATGTAGGTAACAGCTCTTAGCTTGTCAATAAAGTTAAGAATCCTTAACCTGTAAATAGCTTGTCAATTAAGCTAGGGATCCTTAACCTTGTCAAACCCTGTGTAAAAAAAAAAACTCTTTACCTTGCTGTCCATGGTATTAGCAATGCACTCATGATGCATGCAGGTCAAAATGCCCTTTCATGCCCCCCAAGAATGGGATGCATACTGTTGCTGTGAAGGACGCTGAGCAAGCTGACAATCTTCTTCTAATCTACTGACATTCCTATTACAATTCCTATACGATATGACTTTTTACCCCAGGAGAGATGAGCACATCTCAGCAGAAATTCCACCTTGCCATATTCTCCAATGCAGCTCACCTTGCCATATTCTACACCAACCAACCGTAGCCCACCACAGCCAACATTCATTCATTCTTTCTCTATTCCCCATTCTCTCTCTCTCTCTTCTCTCTCTCTCTTCTCTTCTCATCTCTCTGTCTCTCTCTTCCTCTCTCTCTCTCTCATTCTCTCTCTCTCTCATCTCTCTCTCTCTCTTCTCTCTTCTCTCTCTCTCTCTCTCATTCTCTCTCATTCTCTCTCTCTCTCTTTTCTCATTCTCTCTCTCTCTCTTCTCTCTCTCATTCTCTCTCCCCATTCTCTCTCTCTCTCTTCTCTCTTCTCTCTTTCTCTCTCTCATTCTCTCTCTCTCTCATTCTCTCTCTCTCTCATTCTCTCTCTCTCTCATTCTCTCTCTCTCTCATTCTCTCTCTCTCTCATTCTCTCTCTCTCTCATTTTTTCTCTCTCTCTCATTCTCTCTCTCTCTCTCATTCTCTCTCTCTCATTCTCTCTCTCTCTCTCTCCCCATTCTCTCTCTCTTCTCATTCTCTCTCTCTCTCATTCTCTCTCTCTCTCATTCTCTCTCTCTCTCATTCTCTCCAACCACAACCAACCCTCCCTCCCTCCACCAATTACCATCCACTGCTTTTTAACTACAGCTCATACTTTCCTCCACCAACCCCAGGCCACCCTGCAGTATTCTTCACCATCCACAGCCTACCCTGTGGTATTCTCCACCCACCGCAGCCCACCTACAGGATTTTCCTCTAACCACAGCCCACCCTACAGCATTTTCCATCAACCCCAGGCTACCCTGTGGTATTCTCCACCCACCATAGCTCACCTGCAGGATCCCCCAACCTCAGGCCACCCTGCAGTATTCTCCAGCATCCACAGCCCACCTGTAGTATTCTCCATCCCACCCTGCCACTCAAGAGAGTCGGTGTGCCATCGAGGAGTCTTATTTTCACTCTGATCCTCCAATCTTGTCCCTCAGGATGAGACCCACACTAGTTGACTAACACCCAGGTGCCTACTTACTGTTAGGTGAACAGGACAGGTGTAAGGAAAGATCCCCAATGTTTCCATCCATGCCAGGGACTGAGCCACAGACTGTGCGAGGCAGGTGGGTTACCTACCAAGCCATGGGACACCTGCCTGTTATTTTCTAGTTTATCTTCCTCCCTTTTCTAAAGTGTCTCCTCTTAAGGAATGTGTCTTTATGTCAGTGAAAGGCACCTTCCCCTGGGTCAAACATGATTGCTGCCAATTCCACCTAAATACAGGAGGGCCCTGCTTATACAGCAGGTTAGGCTCCGGGCTACTGCTTTAAAGTTAAAATCAATATCATGTTACTCATAGCCTTTTTTTGCTTTTAAATGCATATAGAATCCAGTTAATATATGATAGTGTAAACATGTTAAGTGAGCAATAGAGCTAGGCCTAAAAAAATGCATACAGTATACAGTACACACGTTACTTGCCTTAAAATATCGTCCTTAGCTTATAGTGAGTGGTGAATATACATATTGTAGGAAGCCTTAAGTGAAGAATGGGTATAATTGAAAAATGCTGCATTAGTGAAATGCCATAAAGCAAAGTGCTGTAAAGTGGGGCCCTTCTGTATATTAATTTTCTCAAGTGTCAATACCTATTCCTAATTTCTGTCTAATGATAGCATACCTTTCTCTGGCTTTTATTTCTTTAGTTTTGGGCAGTGGTAATTTCTTACAATGACAATTGAATAATAGGCTCTTCCTAGTGATGCTACTCTGCAGTTACATATATGTCAGAGCAGTAAACTCTCCATACTGCACTAATTGGGGGGGGGGAAATTGTCTGGGTGTATTAAAAAAAAAATTAAGCAAAAGAAGGCACTTAGATACTCTACCCCACCAACCACAGTTTACCTTCACCAACCACATCCATTGTGATGAGTTTATGACTTGTAATATAGCATTAAATATTTAGTTGCAACTGTATGACATGCAGTTACAAAGACAAAGTAATTTAGCCCAAACAGCTGAATTTTGCTATTCATATTGGCTATATGCATTATGGATTATCTCCCACCAAAGCAGGGCTTACACCCTCTCATTCCCACACTTGTATCTGTCCAGTTGTAAAGTAGTAGAGGAATCCAGTTACAATAAAGTTGGTAGAATTACCGACAATATGTAAAGTAAAAGGACACAAGTGCAACTAATGTGACATTTTATTGTGACAACGTTTTGCTTGATAAAGCTCCTGGAGAGC